TTACTTACTTACGGAAATCCTCATTAGTTAAGGCTAGCTCGAACTCCATCAGTTCATTCCATGTTTCGGCTTTCGTGATTAGTGGCCTTTGACTTGGGGCCGAAGTCCTAGTCGCAGGCTGCACCTCCCCATTCACTATTTGCTGAAGAAAATTTTCAATGCGTACCAGCCGCTCTTCCTGCATAACGTCATAACACATGTTGTCCATTAACTTTTTAACAATCCATTTCAACGCTTTCTTGACGGGCTTATTGGAGCCCCGCTCCCGCCGCTTTCTATGGCGGCGTTTAAGACTGCTGCCTAAGAAGAAGTATGAATTAGTATGATTGCTTACCTGGGTAAGGTGGTGAACTCCCCGACGGCATTGTAACGACACTTCCGGAGTCGGAAGAGGATTCCTACGGCATCAGTTAATAACGGCAATGTGTGGCTTACGGTGGGGGGGGATATCCCCACTTAAAGATGATATGTAGTCTTTTAGAGAAGAAGGCGTACGTCTGCTTCTATGGGAGTGGCGTCTTTGACTTTGGTCGTCGTCCGACATGGTAGGCTACAACCCAACAGGAAACAAGTGCATGTTAGTAGGCCACTCCTAAATATGACATGTACTCTCTAATAAAAGATGAAGTTTTATTGGGGGTGGCCTTATTAATGTGTACATTCACTGCCACTCTTCACTGTCCACCAATCAATATATGGGGGCCGTAAGGTTGTTGGATTGTTGGACAGTGCCCATGAAGGGAGCCGTACAGTGAGAAACGAAGACAGGAAGGTGGGTTACCTTGCAGAAGAACTCTCCGCTGTACTGACGTACCCACCTTCAGAATCCCAACGTCCATTGATTTCAATTAGGACGTAATGACTGTCCACGGGGAAACTGGTATACTTCCGAAACGAGGACGGCAAAAGGCAGCTGTTCACTGTGGTACCTATAGTAGCTTTGAAAACTTTAAGATGCGAGTCCTCTGGGTAATCAAGGTAATTCTCAACATCCTGGTATTCAACGTATACTAAACCAAATTCACCGGACGGTAGCGTACAATATTTTGCACGCAAATCAACTTACCATCAAAAGCAATGGAGCCCTCAGAAGGCGTTGTGCCTATCATAAGTCTGCCTTCCTCTATAGACTTAAATTGTCTGAACGACCCACCACTTGGTGGTAGTGGACCGTTACGGTGTTCGTGCTTGAAATTCCACTCCATTCGCTGTTCTAAGGGGCTCCACAGCTTCCGCCGTTCAGCTAACCGATGCACAACTTGCGGCAACGATTGCGGCGGTTTCCTAAGCATCGTTTTCATTTGACCTAAGTAGCTTTCGAAGGGAAACGATGAAAAACTATTCAGTGGATCATGTGTTGCTGCATCGTCCGGTAGGTCTACAATGCTGTGAACATTGTAATACACCTCATTATTGCCGTACAGTTCTGCATATCTTTCAAAAAACATTTCTAGCAAGTGCCTACTAAACGGTACCCACTTTCTACATGAGTGTGGGCGGACTACACACCGTATCGCTGCAAACAACAACAGGAAATGCTTCCAATACTTTTTTGGAATGGGGGGTTGTTAACAACCATCATTCGCGCCATATAGCGGGTAGCACTTTTTTGAAGTCTTTTTGGAGTACAGGAAAACTTTATTGTATAAAGATGTCTGTAAAAAAATGTGTACAAAAGATTTAATTTGGTTAATTGTCCCTCCTCGTGGCATAGTTAGCCTGTGCACGGGCCTGGCTCCGGATGATTTTCTTCCGCGGCTTGGTGCTCTGAAAAAGGGGGAGTACTGGATGAGAGTACGCACTTTAAGATATTATTTGCGTGGCAATAGTATGTGTTCACTTACCAACAGAAGTTTTTCCTTTGTCAGCCTTAATGCATCTTCTGAAATGCCTGTCGTAGACCTTCTTGAAGGTGTCATTGAAGGCATCCTCAACACAGCGGCGATCTGTTAGCCGGGATTCATTTGCAATTTTATAAGCCTCTGATAGAAGGAGAGCTATAATAAAGTAGTAACCCTTACGCAAGATCACAGTATACGCCTCCGTTTCGCGGGAGGCTTTCTTCCCCTTCTGCTGGCCCTTAAAAGGAAGCTCCTCTGTGATGCTCTCAGTTAGCAGGATCCGGCACGTCATCGGTAGCTACGGATGCCAAGTGGGTCATCTGGTTACGTTAGATTAAATTGTTGGGTAACCTACGATCCGTTGGCGATATTGTTTCCCTGACAAGGCCTTATTAAAGGCGTTACGATTGAAAGATTTTTGCTACTAGGGATCCCTAATAGCAAAATAGCCACGAACCCTAATAGCAATTTGATCTGGATTCCTAGCAGACTCCAAGCGAAAAAGTCGACAAGTCGAAGCAGATTCCATCTTCGAATTGACACGCATGTCGAGCCGGATTCGTGGCTGGACATTTCGAAAATGTTGAGTTACTTTTTCAGCCGGACAGGGGGTACCTCCTCGCTCGCGAAAACCCCCCTACAACGAAACCCCATAGAATAAGCCTTTTTTGAAGCCGGCTGGCATTAATAATAGTGTATTATTTGTATAAGAATGTGATAAAAATATTATTGCACAAAAATAATTGTAACTCTTGTTAAAATGCGTATGTGCGATTGAAAAAAAATCTGGTAAACAGAATCAGATAGTAAAAAGTGAGAAAAAATGTAATGTTCGTCAAGTAAATGACAGCCAACGCAGGAGGGATAGGAAGGATGACGACGGACCTCCAGGACGGTCGACGACAGGGCATGCGCTCTTCCATTCTATGCCCCTGTTAGTTTCCTCTGGGGACTCTTCCTGAACCTCTCACCCTACCATTTTTTATCACCCACTACTTTTTTACACCGAGCAGCCTCCATTCTTGAGGACTGATATTTTTTTTTACCTCGCAACCATTTACTTTACGAATCATTGACCCATCATCCTCCCTTTTTTACAGCGAGCGGCCTCCATTTTTGAGGGCTGATATTTTTTTACCTCGCAACCATTTAGTCAAGTCAAGTTTATTAAAGAAAATATAGGCAAACGCCTTTGAACTCCCTTCTTTTCACATAGTATTCAAGAAATGCATTGGCACAGCCGAACATTTCAAAGAAGTCGTTGAAACAATTGTAGGCGACACCTCGCTTGTTTCAAATAATACACGCATGTGGTGATGTCAGTTAACACGAGCCAACAGTGAAACTGAGCAGGAAGATCAGACAGTAAAAAAACTCCTGAGGCATGGCTCAGAATTCAAATTACATTCCGTTCTGATTTCTGAGCCATGCCTTAGGAGTTTGTTTACTGTCTGTTCTTCCTGCTCAGTTACACTGCTGGCTCGTGTTAACTAACATCACCACATGTGAGTGCATAACTTGAAACAAGCGAGTAGTCGACTACAATTGTGTCAATTACTTCTTTGAAATGTTCGGCTGTGCCGGTGCATTTCTTGAATACTATGTACCAAGAGGGAGTTCAAAGGCGTTTGCCTATATTTTCTTTAATAAATTTGACTTGCCTTAAATGGTTGCGAGGTAAAAAAATATCAGTCCTCAAGAATGGAGGCTGCTCGGTGTAAAAAAGTTGTGGGTGATAAAAAATTGTAGGGTGAGAGGTTCAGGAAGAGTCCCCAGATGAAGCTAACAGGAGCATAGAATGGAAGAGCGCATGCCCTGTTGTCGACGGTCCTGGAGGTCCGTCGTCATCCCTCCTATTCCTCCTGCGTTTGCTGTCATTATCTGAAAACAGGAGAGTGGACAGTGAGTACATTGACAAATTTGGTTAATGTTTCAGTAGTAACATGTAAGGTTTACTCACCGGCCGGCTGGGTGTTGGCCACTGTCCGTAGCAGCCTTTTCTTCCTTCGGTCCGAGGCCCGCTAAAGGGCTCTCATTAAGGCACTGTGTCGTTCGTCCGCGTTACCCTTGTTGGCAACGCACCACAGTTCAAAGGCCTCTGTGGAGATCATTGTCATAGATGTGATCTTAGCTTACCGGATACGATTCGGAATAAGAACGATTTATCAAAGGCGCGTTTGTGTTCACCGCGCCCTGTAAATGTCATAAAGGCTGTGATGTCATCGTCAAATAGGGTCCTAATAACCCTGTCGGCATAGGCGTGAACATTGTCCCCTCGCAGCTTGGCCAGAAAGGTAACCTAGTAATAGATGTTATATGTAACGCCTCCTTACAGTGAGCTGTCTTCTTTCATTGTCCCTTAACTCTTCCTCGACGCGATCCATGTCTTGAAGCGTATGCATCTTTGCAAACGGGGGCTCCATGCTGGAGGTGCCAACGAAGGTGCTGGAACCGGGCGTCGGAAACAGCATCTGATTTTGCAGGAAGGTTTTGATTGCCAGAAACCTCCGATCGGCCTGTTGTGTCCATCTAATCATATTGTAGCGGCCGAACGGTGTAGCCGCGGGAAATTCACCAAGCGGTTGTCTCGAGGTCTGATAATTGTACCTGGAGTCGGTGTTGCTGGACAATATGATTCTAGGAAGGGATTCGTCTTCGTCACTCGCTCAGGTGAGAAGGGATTGTAAGATTACACTCCGGACCAAACGTTAGACGGTTGAAGGGTGATCTGAAAAAGGGGATTGAAAGCCATAGCTTCATCTAACAAGCATGCGAAATCTATTCTATGGGAACCATCAATCGGAGTATTATGACTCGACATATTATAAGAGATTCCGTTATCAACCAGCTGTGGCTAACTCATGTCACAAAGGCTTACATTCCAGGTCAAAACCTCGGGAAAACTCGTGAAATGGGAACTGCAGCTAAGACTTATTGAAATAGGCCTGCATATAGGCAGACAATGGCCAAATTTCATCACAATCTAAGTCAAACAGAAAAGCTTCATGCAAATTCTATTTCTATAAGATCGACTTAGAAAAAGTATTAGACAGTGAACACAGTCAGTACGATATCACTTACCGTGTTCTGTGGCGGAGGTAATACACCGCAGCAGAAGGTATAGGGGTTTTCGTTTGGAAACTAAGTAGATTTAACAATAAAAGTATTTCAAACTGTGTTACCTTGTTGCCAATATTCCTTCGTTTACAACGGCCGCCATACCGGTCTCGCGACCCGTGAAACCGCTCTATAGCGACTTTCTGAATTTCATCATCTGAAATAGTGATGACTCCCCTAATTTGGCGGATGGTCTCTGTACGTGGCGAAAATAAATTTTAACCTACCACTGAAAATGGTATATAGCGGGCTTCGCAAAAATGACCGCTTCTTGTTAGACTGGCCTGTGCGATCCCATGTAAATTTCTGGCATAAGGGCGGTCCTAAGATGGTGCCGAGGAGGTTCCTAATTACCTTGTCATTGCGGCCGCCAACTGTTTTAAGATTTTCAACTTTTAAAAGTCAATAGGTAAATTGGCTGTTGAACTGTCATACCGTATCCGCACTGCAGTTGACGTCATTCTGCAAGCGGTGGAGGAAGTCTTCGTAATCGTCCATTGTATAGACAGGCAAGCCACCCCTATATGGTTCTGGGACGGAGCGCCTGTTGTCCGACAATTTGCTTTCTATCTGCTCCATCTTGCATGGTATCAAGTTTTTTTTTTCTGCCATAGCGTCTTTGCGTTTACTGAGTAACGTTGCACAAAAGAAATGCAAGTCTTACCGCATGACTTCATTCTCCCCTATTAGCAAATCGGATTCGGCACGAATCCGATTCCAGCTCGACAACTCTACAATGTAGAGTCCGATTCCAGCTCGACTTGCATCCAATGTAGTGTCCGATTCGAACTCTACAATTGCTCTACAATGTAGAGTCCTAAGTTTCATCCGAGCAGGGGTTACCCTATTCCTCGCAAAAACCCCCCAATTCAAAACGCAGTAGATAAGCACTTTTTTGGAGACGTTTAAATGTTCGAATAGTGTATTATGTAGAAAAATATCGTTAAAAAACGGTAGAAATATACAAAAACGTAAAAAGTAATCTGGGCGCTATGTACAAATAGGGACTGGAATAAGAGTTCATATAATCCATTTAGTACCGAAAATGAGTACTGGAGGTGGTGCCGGAGTTAAAACGGTAGAAAGAGTATACAAGCCTAAGAAATAATCTTGGCGCTATTAACAAATGGGGACTGGAATAGGAGCTCATATTATGCAGTTAGCATCGCAAATGGGTACTGGAGTTGGGGCCGGAGTTAAAACGGTAGAAAAAACGGCAGAAAATATATACAAAACTTAAAAAAATTCGCGGGCGCTATTTACAATTCGGGACTTAAATTTGGGTTAATATTGTTCATTTGCGACGGATAAGGGGTACTGGAGCTTGGGCCGCGGTCATTATCGTCGGGGCGATTGAAGTCTAAAAGATCAAAAATACATAGCCCCATTAGGAATAAGGAAACATTGACGGTGGCTATATGTAGAATTGGTTGAGGAAAATGTGTGATTGAACTCACCATTGTCCCTGAAGCGCTTAGGAATTAAATAATCCCTGCGACGAAAGCGATCGTACGCTTTCTTGAAAGCTCTTTGGAACGCTTTCGGCAAGAGCACTAGGTCCTGACTGTTCAGTCGGCACCAGTCCCTTGCAACCTCTGCGATAGAAGGAGATCAAAGGGTTTTGCATGGAACATTACCTGCAACAACGACGTATATCTTTGACTTTGTGAAACACCGCTTCGGGTTGTCATCACAACCGTCGCTGAAGAGAATCTCGGCAGTTATTTTGTCGCAGAACAGAGTTCTGAATACTCTGTCTGCGAAAACGTTAATATTAGACCCACCGAGGTCTCTAAGGTGGACA